ACGAGAGAAAAACGTAGCTAAACTCCAAACTAAGTTATTATTGCTGCTTATGTCCATAGATTCCACCTTTGGTGACTAAAGTAATGAGTAATGACTAAGATTAATGACTCTTGACTTACCTGAAATGTTATTTTTAGTATTTTTAAATATGAAGTCCCTCAGATCGCGTTGTCCTCCTGGTCGCTTGGCCATTGTGATGACCGTTACCTGCGCTTCTGGCATCGATCAAACAGGCGCATCACGGCGCTCTGGCGCCCTCTAGGGCACTCGCATAGTATAGCGTCAGTGACTTGGTAAAAATGTCATTGCGTGTGTGCGTGCTCCCTCGCCCACAGTATTTTACTCAAAATGCGCAAAATTAATGTTGAAATAGCAGTAGGCCTAATACCAGTGCCACGTTCATTGATACAATTACATAAGGGATGGAAAGCGGGAATGGCAGTTTTAGAAGGGGGATGATTTTGACCGTTTTTATTTCAGGGGGGATTCCATCCCCCCTCATCCCCCCTCAACTCGAGTACTGTGTATAGGCCTCTCACGGTAATTAATTTTGTTGGATACATTTTCCCGGAAATTATCGCGATAAACGATAATATTGTCGCCACCTATGACCATTTTAGACCACTGACATAATGATAATATATAATAATAATTCAAGTACATCCTTTCAAACTGCTAGTCACATCCTGATGTAAATGTAAATGTATCGAGGTCAGAAAAGTTATGGAGTTCATTTTTATTTATCCTACGATAAGTCATTTAATTGCTTATCGCGACAGGCACACAATAAAACAGTGGAAACAAACATGTGTTTGACTTTCATTAGTGAATGAGACTTTGTGCCCTTTATAGTCTGTGTCCAATATTGTGTATTCGTATATATATATATATATATATATATATATATATATATGCTAAGGTCCCGCTACTGACACGATAGCAGTCATTTAGTGCGCATACAGTAGGCCTATGTGCAGGGGCGGATCTACCGGGGTGGCATGGGGTGGCAACTGCCACCCTAAACAATAGCCTTGCCACCCCAGCTGCCACCCCAGTTGGCATCTTTGTTTTGAAAGAAAAGTTGTGGCTCATCGGACATTTATGAGAGAAAGTCTCTAATGTCCGAGTGCAAGTGAATGCAGCACAAGATGCACGTCATTTACTGATGTGCCACAATAATATCACCTATGTGATTGAGTTAAAATATTAATATTGTGGCTTTCCAAGTTAACATTTATTGTAGGAGTGTAACGGTTCACAAACATTTCGGTTCGGTACGTACCTCAGTTTTTAGGTCACGGTTCGGTACGTTACGTTTTCGGTACAGCAGAAAAAATTATCACAAAACATTAAATATTTTTTTTAAATTATTATTAAACTTTGACTAATGTATTCAAATAAATACAAAATATAGTAAAATAAACATTAAGGTGCAGCATTTCGATGAACTGAAATAATCTGTATTTGAACTGTACTGTTCCTAAGCAGCCAGTTTGACATTATGACTTGCTTGTCATTGTATTTTCATGTTGTTTAAAGAAAGATGAACTTGTCCACATTGCTTGCTGAAAGGGCAGATCTGATGGCACTAACAATGTCTCCTGCTGTGGAGAACACCCTCTCTCTAGGGACAGAGGTAGCACAGCCAGGTAGCCGCTTTGCTACCATGGCAACATAAGGATACTTGGTGTTTGTAATAGCTTTGGCTCGGTCTGAACTTTCAACGAGTGGTGGAGGCTTACATGCTAGCGGGAGTTGGGTTTGCACTTCAGTCTTTTTTCTTTTGGTACCGGTGATATTCACGTTCGGGTGATGCCTTTTCAAATGAGTGTGATGTATTGCCAGCCGCGTAACCAATGTTAGTTGAACAATGCCGACAAACAGCTTTGGTTCGGTCCACCTGTCTTTGCCCTTCATCCTTGTACGTAACTGCGAAACCAAAATGTTCCCAAACCGGAGACTTCAATGATGCTGGAGGATTTTCGAGCTCAACTTTATCTGCGTTCGCCATTTCGACAGTTCCTCAAATTACTGACTACATTTGAACGCATCCCTGTGACCAGCTCTCATAGTATGCCTCTCGTCCAATGAAATGACTCGGTCGCTCTATGATATATACCTGAGATTACTTCCAGAAAGTTGTTCATGTTCTCAATTTTTTACCTTTAACGCTATATTCGTTCGGTACACACGTGTACCGAACCGAAGGGTCCGTACCGAATAATTTCAGTACGGGTACCGTTACATGCCCTAATTGATTGATATGATTGCGATTTAAATCAGCATATACTTCTGTCAGGGGATGCCACCCCTCAAAATCTCCTGCCACCCCATGAATATTTGTCTAGATCCGCCCCTGCCTATGTGTAATTAAACCCATGATATCAAAATCTCACTCCAGCCAGTTACCCAAAGTTGGCAACCCTGGTTAACATTAACATGCTTATTGCAGTTGTTAGTGCGCTGTCTTGCGGCCTGTAGCACGGAAAGGAGTGAGCAGAGGGTAGAGTTGTCGATTCTTGTTCAGTTTTCTGTGACTCTCTTCCTCACCCTCTCAGACTGTCAGATGCGCGCGCTACTAAAGAGACGCGCTACCATGGAAACCAAACAATGGTGTAGCTGTATTAAAGTCCGAGTGGAAACAGTCCTGAGTAAATCTGAGTTTGTCAGAAATCGGGAGAAATATGACCCCGGGAAGAAACCGGGAGGGGGCAATGAAATCGGGAGGGTTGGCAAGTATGGGCTGAGGTCGCGTTGAGCAACATTTTCTAAAAAACACCACGTAACTTTTCCTACGAATCTCTGTGTGTTTCATCACTTCAGATTTGATCTTATCTGTGGAAATAGTTTACAGCACACATTCAGTAGACATGTTTATTTAGAGGTGACAGCAGGAGCAGACTTCACTGCCTCTTTCTTCTACATTTAGATGCACATTTCTTTTTAAAAACCCAGTGAAAGGAAAGCGTCTCGTACAGTGAAGCACTTTCTCCTCCACACACAGACACGGCTGTTCATCGTCTGCAGCTCAGGTTCAGATATACATCCTCCCGCACAAGTCCTCCTTGTCCTCCTCTAACGCTGAAGTCCAGACAGCTTTTAGTAGAGAAGGCTCTTCTTGCATTGCTAATGTTGATGAGTACCTACTCCGTGAGTTCATATGGAGACATGTAAATGGCTGTGTCTCATTTCGGATACCTTACCATGTCATACACTGTAGAAGAGACATGAAGAAGAGGGGACACATGTTGATGAAGAAGAGACATGGAGAAGAGGGGACACATGCTGATGTAGAAGAGACATGAAGAAGAGGGGACACATGTTGATGTGGAAGAGACATGAAGAAGAGGGGACACATGTTGATGAAGAAGAGACATGAAGAAGAGGGGACACATGTTGATGTAGAAGAGACATGAAGAAGAGGGGACACATGTTGATGTAGAAGAGACATGAAGAAGAGGGGACACATGTTGATGTAGCTGTGCACTAACCAGAAGTGACGGTAGCCGCTCTTAGTTAGCTAGCTAGCATCGTTCCCAGTACCATTAGCAATTTGATCAAAAGTGCACAGAAAACCAAGCCATTCGGGAACGTTTTTTACTTTCATTGCAGTTTCCAATGCAGCCTTTTGGCCGAGCAAGAGGTGGATAAAACATAAATCTTGCAAAGGAAAATATCAAATACAACACCAAATCATGGAGATGGGGAACGTTGGCTAGTCAGCTTGTTCGACATATAGCTAACGTTCGCTAGTTAGCTAAATAGCTAACGTTCGCAGTTAGCTTGTTAGATATATAGCTAACGTTCGCAGTTAGCTTGTTAGATAAATAGCTAACGTTTGCTAAATCTTATCACATGACGTCCATGATTAGGGAAATTCAGTAGGTAAAATGGGGTGAGTTTTTACTGGTAAATTGTTAAATATATAGCAAACATTCACTAGCTTTTTAGAGTTCGCTCAGACAGTATTGTTATCCCCGTGTTTGGGGAAGTGCAGTAGGTAAAATGTGGTGAGTTTTTACTTGACATACAACGGAAATGGCCGATTTGCACGGGATTAAATCACAGAAGACCTTCGCAGTAATTATACATTCCTAAAGCTCCCTGTGGAATACCATACTAGTCCGATGCCAACATTAGGCGCGTTCACACCGCAGTACTTTTCCCACTTTAGTTCCGATATAGTTCCGAAATGTTGCGTTCACACCAAAAAGAGCCGGAACTAAAATGAGTTCATCAGAACCTTTTCACCCCCTAGTCCCTGCTAGAGAGCAGGGACTTTCGCGGGAGAAAAAGGTTCCTATGTCTGATTGGCTGGGCGGATTGCAAACCACGCCCCGTAAAACTCCCAAAAAGTTTTGTGAAGCCGCCATTTTATTATCCTCGCATTAGCATTAGCATTAGCCCAGCGCAGAAACGCAGAGAGACTAACTTATGGCAACACAACATAAAACATGGGAGCGGTGGAGATGAGGAGGTGTCGGCGTTCTGACGATTTACTCGGAAGGCTTCTACTGAAGCCTTCCCCAACTCCGGGGACTTCCGGCCAGGGACTCCGGGTGGCAGTATACGCCGTGAAGTGGTTTGCGGCCTGCCAGTAAACCCAAAGCAGAAGAAGAAGTAACGTCAGCGGCTTCATTTGTCTAATCCACCCTCAGGAAACGGCCCGTCCACACAGCGGCGTGCGTTGAAGCTTCCAACGCTTCTGCCCATTCACTTTGAATGGGGTGACGTCACTTTTAGCCGAACTGCATCGTGGGAAGTGACGCGGAGCGTTGCTGGCGTGGCTCACTGCAAAAGTTGAGCAATGTTCAACTTTTGACGCCTCGGCAGAAGCGTCAGCCAATCGAATCATATGCAAGTACAAGCTCTAGCCAATCAAACCGCTGCTTGTGTGTCAGGGGCGGGAGATTCATGTGATTGGTTATTGGTCGAGTGTCAGACACGCCCGCCGGCAAGCGTCAACGCACGCCGCTGTGTGGACGGGCCGTATTCTGGTGTGAACGCGATCTGTACTTAGTTCATGAGAATTAAAGAGTTCTCATGAACTAAGTTCTCATGAACCTTTGTGGGGAAAGTACTGTGTTGTGAATGCGCCTATAGCCTATTGTCTCCCACAAACCTAACGTTAGCTTGTTAGATATATAGCTTATGTTTGCTAGTTAGCTTGTTAGATTTAGATAACAGTCTCTCAGGCTAATGTAATCACATGAAGTCCATGTTTGGGGAAATGTTACAGCTATAATGGGTGAGTTTTTAGTTGACAAACAACGGAGATTGCCGATCAGCATGGGATTAAATCACAGAAGACCTTCACAGTAATTATATATTCCTAAAGCTCCCCAGGTAATTATAGTGCGATGCCAACAGGGCTTATTGTCTCCCACATCGCACAATAACCTGACCATCTGTTATCCCCAGCTGCCAGCTGCTGTCACATCTTTTTCCAACATAGCAACACCTGATTTAGCCTCCTTCAGTCTGCAGCACTTGTTCCAGCGTTGGAAAAGAAACGTCCTTGCCAACACGTATGAACTCTCCGAACTCGTGTTCATCGTCCTCTTTGCACTGGAGCTTCATCACAGCTTCAGACACTCGTGCCCTTTTAAGAGAAGGGTGCAAAACTCCCGTGCTGCTGCTTGATCTTCATCCGGAAAATGTCCCTCGTCCTCTTCCTCTTCAGGCCTCGGAAAGGACTGATGTCACCGTGAGACAAAAGGCAGCAGCTGTCACATGAAGAACAGAAATCCCTCCAATGTAAACACTTCGCAGACTGGTGGTCTCACACACACTCTTCACACAGCGTTGGTGTGTGTTGGCTCTGATTCTGATGCTAACGGTGTGTGTGTCTCCATCATGCTGAGCTTCTCCGAGCCGTTCCTCGGTTCTTCTCTCCGTCTTCGTCTCCTCCAACACAACCGGCACCTCCGACTGACGGAAAGAGAAACACGTTAGCGTTTAAATACAGCTGAAAATGAACCATGTAGGAATAAATAAGCTATCCATATTGAGTCAAATATGATGCTAATTTACGTAAAATAGCATAGTGTAAATCATCATGCAGAGTTGAATATAAACACTGAATAGAGTGGAAATAACTCTGTACTTGGAGTGCGTGTTACTCTGTTTAGATTGGAACCAAATGTCATTTATTTAAAATAAAGTTCTACTCAATTTAAGTAGAATTTACACCAAAAAAATACTTTGTAAAAGCTTAAAATTACTCAAGATAGCTTCTCCTAACAACTATGTTTTTTTGGCAGAATACCGCCAACACAACCGGCACCTCCGACTGAGGGAAAGACAAACGAGTTAGCGTTTAAATACAGTAGAAATTAACCATACTAAAAAAAAATTGCTGTCAATATTGAGTAAAATAGCAGTAAAGTTGATCTAAGTGAATGCTATGGTGTTAATCATCATGCAGAGTTGAATATGAACACGAGTAGAGAAGAAATAACTCTGAAAAGGGAACTCTTTACCGTACTGTGTTTAAATTGGAACCAAATGTTATATATTTAAAAAAAGGTTTTACTTAATTTAAGTAGAATTTACACAAGTAGTGTACTTTACGTAAAACCTTAACGCTAACTTCTCCTAACAACGGTTACGATTTTTTGTATATATAATGGTTTGTACTGCTGTTTTTAATAAAATACAAACTAGTTTTTGTATTTTATTGGTATTTATGGGCTTATATCCCCGACCATAGTGTTAAAGATCAATTTTATTGAGCGACAAACACACTTTCAAGAGTGTGATGATTTTGGTCACGTAAACCAGTGGTTCTCAAATGGGGGTACGCGGACCCCTAGGGGTACGTTGGAGTACTGCAGGGGGTACGTGAGATTTATTTTATGTTAGTGAAAAAAACAACATAAGTAATGCATTTAAACAAACTACTAATAGTAGATGAACTACTTTATTCAAAGGTTTACAGAAACTCTGGATAATAAAATGGGAACAATAAACGGGGTGCTCTCTTTTCCTCTCCCTCTCCTGACAGCTCGTCAGTCTCGTGCAGCTCGCTGAACCTGTAATGAGTGACCCGACAGTAAAGAATAAATATATTTATAACTAGTTTAGCTAGTTCCAGAGTAGATGAACTAGCTAAGTGTGTTAGGTCTAACTCTTGTGTATTTTGCTCCACTCAACGGTCCGTCACAGCGGGGAGCTGTGATCATGCAGAGCTGCGTGTTCTCCGTCAGCAGCAGCTGATCTGATCTCTGTCTCGTGTCCGGTTAGACTTCACGCCCGTTTATGTCCAAATATTAGATCTAGCTAGTTCTAGTTAAGGATATGACTGCCTGCTTATCAAAGGACATAAACAATAAGCGTTGCTTGGCAACGGCCGCAAAGTATAGTGCAGCATTATGCATATGTTTATATGAGGGGTCAAAATCCCATGCTCATAAAATGCTCATATATCTTGTTCTCTTCATTCCCCACGCCCCAAAATAAATAAATAAATAAAAATAACAATTGTAGGAAAAGTAACGAAGTTTGAGCAGTGTGGGTTTTATATGAACAGAGTTACACATATTTCAAAACGCGAAGTGTAATAACTGCAGGTTGCCTCCCTGTCAGAATGACACAGATGCTCAGTGAAGCACAAGCCCATGTTTCTCACTAAATGGTACAACTTATTAAAAAGATCAGTTCAATGCAGCTAATGTCGTCTCAGTGTTATTGCATGATGTTAAAATTGGTTTGCCATGAATTTAGTGATGGATTGTAAACATTTGAAGTGTAGCATTTAAGTGTTTCTCAGTTACAATGTTGTTTTAATAAATCAGACTCTGATGGTGCAGCGCTGTGCTGTACCTCTTTATATAGGCTTTTTGTCCCTAACAAATAGTGTTTGCGCTGATCAGGGGGTACGTGGCTGCATTTCTTTTTCAAAGGGGGTACATTATTGAAAAAAGTTTGAGAACCACTGACGTAAAGAACTGCAAAAATAATACTTCTTTCAAAAGCTTCTAACTTGCCCAAAAAAGCCATATTTTCCCAAATGTCAAACCATTCTTTTATGTAGAACAACACAGGAACTTACTGTGAACAAATACAGATGAATACGATGAGAAGAATCAGGAAAACGAGCCCCGCGATGACGCAGGCGATTATTATTTGTCGTTTTCCTCCTATCCGCCAATCCAAGTCCAGATATTGACATCTGGAGCCGATGTAGCCATGCTGACACCTGAGAAAAACACAAATACTTTCACTGTTTTGATTTAACAGACAATAAAGAAACACTACTGTCTCTTTTAAAGAGGTGGGAAGTATTGGAGTACAAATACTTTGTTACTGTACTCAAGTACATTTTTCTGGTTTCAGTACTTTACTCCACTACTTATTTTTCTGACCACTTTTTACTTTGACTTCTCACATGTTGAACTCAAATACCTGTACTTTCTACTTCTTACATGTTGAACTCAAATACCTGTACTTTCTACTTCTTACATGTTGAACTCAAATACCTGTACTTTCTACTTCTTACATGTTGAACTCAAATACCTGTACTTTCTACTTCTTACATGTTGAACTCAAATACCTGTACTTTCTACTTCTTACATGTTGAACCCAAATACCTGTACTTTCTACTTCTTACATGTTGAACTCAAATACCTGTACTTTCTACTTCTTACATGTTGAACTCAAATACCTGTACTTTCTACTTCTTACATGTTGAACTCAAATACCTGTACTTTCTACTTCTTACATGTTGAACTCAAATACCTGTACTTTCTACTTCTTACATGTTGAACCCAAATACCTGTACTTTCTACTTCTTACATGTTGAACTCAAATACCTGTACTTTCTACTTCTTACATGTTGAACCCAAATACCTGTACTTTCTACTTCTTACATGTTGAACTCAAATACCTGTACTTTCTACTTCTCACATGTTGAACTCAAATACCTATACTTTCTACTTCTCACATGTTGAACACAAATACCTGTACTTTCTACTTCTTACATGTTGAACTCAAATACCTGTACTTTCTACTTCTTCCATGTTGAACACAAATACCTGTACTTTCTACTTCTTACATGTTGAACCCAAATACCTGTACTTTCTACTTCTTACATGTTGAACTCAAATACCTGTACTTTCTACTTCTCACATGTTGAACTCAAATACCTGTACTTTCTACTTCTCACATGTTGAACACAAATACCTGTACTTTCTACTTCTTACATGTTGAACTCAAATACCTGTACTTTCTACTTCTTCCATGTTGAACACAAATACCTGTACTTTCTACTTCTTACATGTTGAACACAAATACCTGTACTTTCTACTTCTTACATGTTGAACTCAAATACCTGTACTTTCTACTTCTCACATGTTGAACTCAAATACCTGTACTTTCTACTTCTTACATGTTGAACCCAAATACCTGTACTTTCTACTTCTTACATGTTGAACTCAAATACCTGTACTTTCTACTTCTCACATGTTGAACTCAAATACCTGTACTTTCTACTTCTTACATGTTGAACCCAAATACCTGTACTTTCTACTTCTTACATGTTGAACTCAAATACCTGTACTTTCTACTTCTTACATGTTGAACTCAAATACCTGTACTTTCTACTTCTTACATGTTGAACTCAAATACTTGTACTTTCTACTTCTCTCATTTTCCAAACAGCTGGTTCCTTTAGTCTGAATGTGTGTTTGATGCGTGATCATTATTCTTTAGAGTCATTGCGTGCCTATTGATTTGAACACGATCCGTGTATCCATCATTTCCTGGTCTTCTCTAAAGAAGAGGGACCAATGGAAACGTTGTCATGTTGCCGTTGTTCAGCATGGAAACATTCATTAGCTAACAATGACATTATTGTTCTATTCATATAAAGGGAGGTCAGGTACTCTTTAAAGCAGCTGCTAGTTATGGGTACTTTTTACTGAAGTACATTTCAAAGCCTCTTTACTTTGACTTAAGAAGTTTAGTTAGTACTACTTTCACCAGAGTATTTTTAAACACGAGTATCTGTACTTCTACTTGAGGAAAGGATGTGTGTACTTCTTCCATTTCTGCACTTTTATCAGTTGAATTTTACAGCTACACCTTTCTGGAAATGCTAATTATCTCCGTGTTCTTGCAGCGTCTTACCTGCAGGACGGTGCATTCTGTTCTGTAATGTAACGGCACTCCCCGTGGATGCAGTAGTTTGTCAAAGCCTCGGGACATTTTGAGAAGTGTCCGGTCCACTGCCCTGTATCTGTCGTGCTTTCTGGAGAAATAAGATGATAACCTTTCAAATTAGTTTCACGATTATTGTGGTCAGTATAACAGCTTTTCACCATCTGTAGAAACTTGGAGATTAGGCGCCCAAATACATTGTTACATTTGGGGGAGCAAAGTTGTACGTTTGCTAACCAACTTTTTGACTTATTAAACACATCGTATCATCATACAGTCCCCATAATCAACTGAGTATAATTATCAGTATATCCAACACAGTCTCACGGCATTTCATGTTATAGTCACGACATTTAATCTATTGATTCGTGTTCCCCATTTTCGTGTCACACAGAATGATTTTAAAAGCAATGTATTTCTATTGGTAGTATCATATGGTAGTGTGTTTCGTGCCTGCACCAAATAATAACAAATTAGAAGGAAACAAATATTTAAAAAAATACAGATTTCAGTATTCTGAGGCTCTGAGCCATTTATTTTCCTCGCGGACGGCAAAAAAACTCAGACATTGTACTATTTAAAATAAAAGGGTTAGGGTATTGAGTAAGAAAATGTTTTTATGAACCACACAGCTTCCGGTCTTCCAAGACCCGACCGGTGTCGGTACCATATGTGTTTGGGGTACCATATGTGTTCGGGGTACCATATGTGTTCGGGGTCCGTCTCTTACCAATGACGTCACGCATTGTGATTGGCTGTACGGTAATTTACCCAGGGGTGCTCGGGGGAAAATCACATCTACAGATCAAGACGAAGCGAATGGAAATACTCCCATACTCCTAACGTGTGAAAATGTTTGTGAAAAACGTGTGCAAAGTCTCCGGCTGTACGGCATTGGCTGTACGGCAACTCAAGAGGACCATCATACACGGTCAAATTCCGAACATTTAAACATAGCCTACACTTCATTCTTTACTATGTCCGTTATTATATGTAGAAGATATTACTTTTTTCTCCGTCATGTTGTTTCCATAGCAGCAACTTCAAACAGGAAGTTAACCTAAATTACATTTAAGACACTGCAACGAAAGTAACAAAAACAATGTAAAATCCTTTTCCGTTTCACAGAATACAAATTGGGTTATTTACATAATTATGTTTACACTGTCGATTGTTATTTTTGGGGGACACATCAAATCACATCTACAGACCAAGACGAAGCGAATGGAAGTACTCCCATACTCCTAGCGTGTGCAAATGTTTGTGAAAAACGTGTGCAAAGTCTCCGAAAACGGAGCAGTGGCTGCGATGCTAGCTTTGCGGCTAGCGGTTAGCATTTTCAATGGAAATATACATCAAAACATCATGTTTCAGTCAAAACAAGGCCCCACTGATCATCTACTCTAAGTCGCTTTGGATAAAATCGTCAGCTAAATGCAATGTAATGTAATGATCAAAAAACCCCGCTATACTCTAGACAGCGCCCCCGAGCACCCCTGGGTAAATTACCGTACAGCCAATCACAATGCGTGACGTCAGTGACGTCATTGGTAAGAGACGGACCCCGAACACATATGGTACCCCGAACATATATGGTACCGACACCGGACAAAAAGACGTGGAGCAGGCACGAAACACACTAGCAATAGAAATACATTGCTTTTAAAATCGTTCTGTGTGACACGAAAAATGCGAAAATTGTGTTGATGAACACGAATCAATAGATTAAATTAATTTCGTGACTATAACCGTGAGACTGGGTTGGTATATCAGTGATCATTATTGCTATTTTCAGCAGAAGTTAAATCAAAATCCCAACTTTTTTTCCCTCAAACCTTGGAATCATGCTTTCATAGTTTTGTAATTTGCATGTCTGCTTTCTTAAACCTAAAAAATGGAAAAGTGAAGTACTCGAAAAAGCTAAGAAAGTATCACTGTTAGCTAAATTGCTTCAATTAAAGATGTTTACAATGTTAAGAACCATCTAGACCAGTGGTTCCCAACCTTTTTTCCCAAGAGCCCCCCCAAATGACTCCTGTTGGAAGTTGCGCCCCCCCCCCCCCCACACACACACACACACAAGGGGGGGTGGGCGGGCGCAACAGCGGTAATTGAAGTTTAAAAGTCTCAAAAATGCTACAACTACTGGATGAATGTGAAGTATTTTGTTGAAGGAGGATGAAAGCGTAATCAAGGAGCACTATTGGAGTGACTTTGATGGTTATTGGACTCAGGATTCATTCATTTGGATTCCCGCTGTATGAAGAAATTAAAGGACGGCGTAAATGGAAACAATTCACAAAGGGATTAAACTGTTTAAAACACATGCTCAAAGTAAGCCGGATTTTGCCGATGTGTTTATGTGGATTCAAAAGTCGTGAATAATCTACAAAATGGAGGAGACCGATCTGATCGGAGCAACTGTGACAAATAATCCAACTGAAACCGGCATGGACAATGACTATGTTTTAAAAATGCGCTTATCCAGAAAAGCCTGGTTTGGACACTTTACGGGCAGAAGAAACATTTCTATTAAAGAAAGAATTATACATTTCTGTCTTTTTATGCCTTTAATACTAACTTGAATTGTTATTCAAATTAATTAATCAATTATTTTTTATATTTTATTGTAATGTAGAGACATGGCTTTTAGTGACAATCATGTATTGCTTTACAATTATATGTAAAATAAAAATAAAAATAAAGTCCAAATATGATATTTGGCCTCAAATCATCTGAGGCCTGGTGCCCCCCCTGCGCGCCCCCCAGGTTGGGAACCACTGACTGCTTAATCATGGACTGATAACAGAACATAAGACAGGCCATTTAATGTTAGAATAACCTGCTTGGTTAGTTGGAGTTAGCATAAAGAGCTAGCTTAAGTCAGCTTAAAGTAGACTCTCCTACTGTTAAAGCAAGGAAAACAGGAACAAAAACAGTCGCTGATTGTTAGCTAAAATCTGCTTTAGAGGTCAATGAAAGTCTGTCATTTCCGATGGGAATCTGACTGTTTACAAAGGTAAGAAACATTTAGTTGAACTGCTTAATCATGGACTTCAAACAGAACAAATGAAAAGACAGGCTAGTTAATGACAAAAAAACCTGCTTGTTAGCTCGTTCATTAGCTTAAAGAGCTAGCTTAAGTTAGCTTAAAGTAGAGAGTAGGCTACTGTTGGTGAAATACCAAATTGATTTACTAGTAACTTTGCCAGCTAACGTTAGCTTCCTGATTGGACAGGATTTGGCGGTGGAAATCAGATGTTTGTGAACAAACCGTAGCATAAAAGTAGAAAGTACATTTGGTGAAACGCCCGACAAATCTTCGAGTCCACGTTAGCTAACTTAGCCAGCTAACGTTAGCTTCCAAATTCGACATGAATTGGCTGTGGAGATCGGACAAACTGTAACAACATGCTATTATTTAGCATTAGCATGGTTGATTTAATTGTTTGGGGTGTAGTGGAGGGTTAATCCAAGATATAGGTGGTGTAGAAATGCAGGAAATATGTTGTAATGTCCTCTCCCTTTAGACCCCACACTAACTCATGAAGAACACCAGAGAGTTGTTTTAAAAAGCCGAGCTATTTCTGTAACGTTCTGTCAGCTTCTCATTTTGACTTACACCCTCACCTCCTGGCACGGTATAAATAGTTTGCAATTTGACCCAGAGGGGAGTGATGAATCATCGCTGGAAGAAGCTCGGTGTCATCGGGTCTTTTTAACCACGTGTCGCAATCATTACATTACAAACTCAACATGGTGGATAAAGTTACACTCATTCCCATTCTGTTTCTCCTCCACCAAACACTCCCTAACACAGCTGCTAGTCGACCATCAGGCTGAACTTCTGACCCCTGAAGTTACACACAATGCTCGTTATACAACAAGCTGCCGCTGCCTTTACTGCACAGCCCATTATCTGTGAATACGAGCTCGTAAAGTAATACTGCTGCTCCGGGGACTTCAATGAAAGCGCTTCAGTAGAAACTGAAACACGAGATCAGGCTCGCTGCCGTTAGCTCTGTGTTGAAAAGAAAAATATCAAGTTACAAAGTTTGAAGGGATAGTTTGGGAAATAGGAAGCAGTTGATGGCTTGTTTCGCTAAAGCTGGAGGCATCAAATTAACATTTTCTGTCTAATTTGTTTAATTTGTACGAGAAACGTAGCATAAAAATCACGTATTTTGTATTTGTTGAAAGGAGAACAGTGGTTAACAAACCCCCTTCTTTCAGCCAAGCTAAGCTAAGCTAACCTGCTATGGTTTCATAGACGCTGTGTATATATACATGTTTTTCACTTACATTTTGGTATACTGCACAAACTGTATTTTTTATTGTAATTTTACGTATATTTTTGCGTATTTATAACTATTTTAAAAACATTTTTAAACAATATTTGCATATGTTTTACAACCTTATTCGTCCTACTGTGTTTATGCAAAAACCAGAACAATTCCTTGTACTGTATGTGTAAACCTAATAAAAACCCTAATTCTGATTAAATAGGTACAGAAATGAGTGGTTTCAATAATCAATGTGAAGACAAGGAACTATTCACTTGAAGTTGATTTTGATAAAGGAAGCAGTCATTTTGATAAAGCAGGTAATACATACAAAAAAGACATTTTAAGGATTTAAACTACAAGCCTGCTGTAGGAGGCCCAACATTTCTATAACGAGCTTTTGAGAGAATATCCTGCAGCTAAATCAGAGAGGTGGAAAACATCCAAACTCCTTTATGGCCCAGTTGAAGCCCCCTTTCCCACCTGTCCATATCTACCTGTGCCGTTGTCTCCGTTTCCGATTGACACGGTTTGATTGGCAGACGCTTCGGTCACATGACTGCCGGCCAGAGAGTATTTGCACAAAGCCAGAGCTGCAGACAAACACACAAACACAGGTAAACACCCACAACAAAAACACATGCAAATATATGCACATGCACACTGTTTTTTAACCAATTTGTGTCCACAGAAAGTAGTAGTTGTCCCCTTTTTTCATTTATATAAGTATAAGTAAGTAAACAATTCAAGAATACCCAGGGAAAATATACAGGGAAAATGCAATAAATATTATAACTAAGTATTTTATATACGATAGGGAGAAGGAAGTAGGAGTTTCTACCCCTTTTTGATATATTGTTATACACTTAAAGTGGCAATATATAACATTTCTACCTCAACTTAGCAATGTAAAGTAAATATTGAATGCACAGTGTAATGTCTGCAGACAAATGACACAATCAGTGTTTAGATATTAACCCTTTACAATGCATTACTGTCTCTTTTCAGGTTCAAAATCTCCCTTTCACAATAAAAGCACTAGAATTAAACACCACTGCTTCCTAGAGATCATTCACTAAGTACATTTACTCAAGTACTTAAGTATAATTTTGAGGTATTTGTACTTTAGTTGAGTATTTCCATTTTACGAGTACATTCACAAGCTACCCTGCAGTCTACAAAGTACTTCAAACTAGCTGCACCTTCACCAGCTTTGAGAACACTTTCATGATCAATCATTATAAAACATATCATATATATTATTCTGAAATGGACCAATCTGCACAACGACTACTTTTACTGTCGCTACTTTCACTATATTTTGATGAGAATACTTTTCTACTTTCACTTGAGGAACATTTTGAATGAGGACTTTTACTGTAACAGAGTATTCCTACACTCTGGTACTTCTACTTTTACTCAAGTACCAGATCTGAGTACTTCTACTTTTACTCAAGTACAAGATCTGAGTACTTCTACTTTTACTCAAGTACAAGATCTGAGTACTTCTACTTTTACTCAAGAACAATATCTGAGTACTTCTACTTTAACTCAAGTACAAGATCTGAGTACTTCTACTTTTACTCAAGTACAAGATCTGAGTACTTATACTTATACTCAAGTACAAGATCTGAGTACTTCTACTTTTACTCAAGTACAAGATCTGAGTACTTCTACTTTTACTCAAGTACAAGATCTGAGTACTTCTACTTTTACTCAAGTACAAGATCTGAGTACTTCTACTTTTACTCAAGTACAAGATCTGAGTACTTCTACTTTTACGAAAGTACAATATCTGAGTACTTCTACTTTTACTCAAGTACAATATCTGAGTACTTCTACTTTTACTCAAGTACAAGATCTGAGTACTTCTACTTTTACGAAAGTACAATCCTCTGAAATCATCTATTTAATTGCCATTGTAATATGTTTATAACGTGTTATATGTTGTTTAATTTCCTCTCTACAGCTGTTCTGTAAATTAACTTCTTTGACTGTAATCTAATTATATTTTACATTTTTACTCACTATATTCATCTTAAACATCCAGATTCCTCTCGGATACTGTTTAGTCTCTCTCATTTGAACTAACTTCTGGATACTATTAGGTAGACATTTTGTTTTGTTTGCACTGTTTATAGGAATCTACAAAGGAGATGCCAAAGAAAACACATGATCACAATTAAAGTTACTGAAGAAAATACGCAGAGTCATGACTCCAGCGGACCTTAAAAGGTAGGAGATTTCTCTCAATGACGCCCACTTTTGTCTTTCTCACACACACACACACACACACATACCATGTATACATCACTTCAGGGGACATTACATTGACTTACATGCATTTCCTGGAGACTTATCCTAACCTTAACCATAACCAACACATGCCTAACCCTAACCCTAAACCTAACCAAGTCTTCACCCTAAAATTAATGACTCCCCTTATGGGGACCTCCAATTTGTCCCCATAAGGGAAGCCAGTCCCCACACGTGACTATGTAAACAGATTTAGGTCCCCACAAGTATAGTAATGCTAGACCACACACACCCACCCACACACACACACCCACACACACATACACACACACACACACACACACACACATACACACACCCCCACACACATACACACACACACACACACACACACACCAAGCCTCAGCTAAAAGTCTCACTTAGAGCAAAACCAGTTTTTTTGTCACGATGAATGTGGTTTAAATTACCTTTATTGACACAAACAGGCAAATCTGAAACACACACACACACACACTTTTACTTAATCTTAACCAAAACCATGCACACCTTTCGCTCTTGGAGCAGACATAACACTAACCACAGACGTGTGTGATTGAGTCCACATTAGGGAAGCCTGTTTGACGGTGACTAATGATGAGAGTGGACATATTGCAGGTGTATTTACTCAATCATTAACCAACTCAAAAGTCTAAATATAGCTCAAAGGAAAAGCACTGTCTTCTGACCTGCTTTACTCTGAAGGCACATGGATGATGAAAAAGTGCGGCAACAGTCAAAACACTTTTTAACACTTTGCATATGTTTAAATACACACTTTAATATCTACCATGGTTGAATTGTGTCTAAAAACTCAAAACAACAACATACAAAGCATTTCAAATAGATATAATAACGTTATGTACACTTTGAAACAGTTTATGTCGAGTTATGGGGCTTATATCTTCTGTTGAATTGAGAATATTGATGACAATTATCACGAAAAGCACATGTTGAATATAATAATTATATGTAAACGCGACTTTAACATGCCTGTTTAAGGATTATGTGATTCTGTTATGAGAAGTGGACATCTTACCTGCCAGTACCCCTGCATACAGTCTGTACACCTGGGCCATCTCCTCACTTTATGAGAAATACAAAAAACGCTAATCCAAGTTCAGATCCATTGAGAAAAACGGATAAATCAGAGGTCAACGACCTTTAGTGAAGGTGCGGACACTGGAAGTTCCCCAGGTGTGTGTGTGTGTGTGTGTGTGTGTGAGTGGCATTGTGATCCTGCATTACAGGCAGTCTGGTTCATAGTGAGCCTTTAAAACATGAGTGTGTGAGTGTGTGTGTGTGAGTGTGTGTGAGGATAAAAAAAGGGGTGGCACTGAAACCCAACTCCCGGCTCCCCGCCTCCTTTAAAGGAGACTCAGCAGGTTATTTCCTGCTTGGGAACAACTGCACCTTTTATACCTGCTCTCCCTTTTCTCAAAGAATGAAGCAACAGGTGGAAGTGAACAATACGCAGCTTTTATTAGTTTGTATAGACATCTCTAAGCGGTCGACCAATCACAACAGAGCCAGCCAGCTGACCAATCAGAGCAGACTGGGCTCTGGTTTCAGACAGAGGGTGAAAAGAGGTGCTGCAGCACAGGCAGTGTGCGAAGAATAAAGAGCTTTTTGAACATTAAAGGGGACCTATCATGTAAAATGCACTGTTTGATGTCTTTCATACACAAACATGTGTTTCTTCTCCTCTCATCGCTAACACTCAGAGCTAACCTGTACCGGAGAGAGCATGTGTAAAGAAGCAGGAAATAGAAAAAGGAACTCACCTTGTGGTAAACCTGAGAGAGAAAGTATTTGAGCTCCATACTGTTTTCAGAAATAATCCTTGATGTGGTTTGGCCTACCACAAACTACAGTTTACTTGCTACAATCAACCCACCTCACTCAACAACAGCCTGATGCCAGATGCTACACAAGCATTGACTCTAGTTTGCAAATAACAAACTTCCCCAGATCCTGCCTACCACAAACGTACCTACCTATCTTCTGGAGCGTGCCGGGCTCAAGGCACACATCACCGTAACCCCGAAACGCCTGCCCCCAACAGGGACTAAATCCCCACCCAGGATTACCCCGAAAATTGTTGTACTTGAGTAAAAGTAAGTACTCAGATGTTGTACTTGAGCAAAAGTAAAAGTATTTTTTATGTGATATACATAGTAGTTTTGGGCCGGGTGACGTCACGGACTGATACGGAAGTTGCAGTACCGCCGTTTGGACACAAGGAACAGAGTCCGGAGCACTTCCTGGGGCTTGGTCTGCATCGGTGCTGACTTGAGACCCGGGTTGCAGTCGAGTAGTCCATTTGTAGTTCCTAACAGAGTGAAATGAACTGGAAGTCCCTCAGTGGCAGCCATGATAAGTGCCGTTCGAATTCTCTAGATCAGTGGTCGCCAACCAGTCGATCGCGATTGACCGGTCGATCGCGAGTGTGGTGCAGGTAGATCGCGGACCGTTAAAAAAAAAAGTAACAAAAGAAAGAAAAATAAAATAAAAATAATAATGTTTGAAAAATACGTTTTTAGATGTAAACCTATCATCCACCACCCCGTTAGCAGGTGCCACTTGATTTACGTATATTTGAGACACCTCAATAATATAATACATTAACCGTGCTTTACGTGAACCTCATCATGACACAAGAGAGGACGGCAGGACTGCGATTTCCCGTGTTCAGTGAATGCAACAGAGGCAAGTCATCAGACCAATCAGAGAGTTGCATGGAAATACACGTGTGCTTGTGTCATTCAAGCTCGGCTCTGTGTGTGTGTGGCAATAGCGCATTTAGTGTGATAGAGAGAGAGAGAGAGAGAGGGAGGGAGAGGGAGAGAGGGCAGTGGCGGTTCTAGACCAATTTGACTGGGGGGGGCAATAAATGCAGGACGAAAAAGAGAACTAGACAGTATGAAGTAATTGTGCATAAGACAACAATGCAATACAGTTATTGGTATTTGTTTCAGTACACTTAATTATTTCAGATATATCTTATAGTTATTACTGTTAGCTTCAGCTTAAGTTATAGTGCAATGTTTGCACTAACACCATATTTATATAAAAATAAAGGCAATAAACAGTTACATCTCTACTTTACATCTACAATTACACAGATACAATAGTTTAACTCACCTTCAATTATCGTGGTAGTCTCTCGAAACGTAGGTTTCAATCAGTCTTTCTTGGATGCAACAGCCTCTGATGATCCGAGATGAAACGTGTTTGTTTTTCGCACGCTTCAGCCGGACAGTGAAAGTGAGTGCACCGCTCTAATGGGTCCGACTAGAATGACGAATAACGTTAGTTCCGCCTATTCCGTCATTCAATAAATCGTGTAATAAATCATACTACAATGATCAACTCCTCCCTGGAATCAGGTAAGGTTCCCGCCGTCCTCAAGATAGCAGCTGTCACCCCCATCGTCAAAAAACCTGGTCTCGACCCAGAGGACCCCAGCAACTTCCGGCCGATCTCCAACCTTCCTTTTCTTAGCAAGATCATGGAAAGAGCAGTTGCTGCCCAACTCCACCATCATATGTCCGACCATGAGCTCTACGAACCCTTCCAATCAGGCTTCAGATCCAACCACAGCACAGAGACGGCCCTTATTAAAATAACCAATGACCTCCTCATAGCCGCCGATTCAGGCCTCGTCAGCATCCTTATCCTCCTGGACATCTCCACCGCATTCGACACAGTCTCCCACACTATCCTACTCAACCGCCTATCCGTCTACCTTGGCCTCTCTGGTACAGCCCTCTCCTGGTTCCATTCCTACCTCTCCAACAGGCAACAGTTTGTGACCATCGGAAAATCCAGCTCTCCCCCAGCCCCTGTCAACCAAGGTGTGCCGCAAGGTTCGGTGCTCGGCCTCCTTCTATTCAACATCTACATGCTCCCCCTCGGTGAAATCATCCGCCAACATGGTCTCAACTTCCACTCCTATGCCGACGACACCCAACTCTACATCAGTACCAATCCATCATCCCAGCTACCCCCACTGTAACTTGTCAACTGCCTCCGCGACATCCAAGCCTGGATGTCAAAAAAATCTACTTAAACTCAACAATAACAAAACAGAGCTCATGGTTGTGGCCCCAAAAACACTGCTCCGGAAGGTTGGAGATCTGCTCCTCACCATCGATGGCGGCTCCATCCACCCTTCCCCTGAAGTTCGCAGCCCGGGCGTCATTCTGGACTCTAGCCTCACCTTCAACTCCCACATCAGGTCCACTGTCAAAACCGCTTTCACCTACGAAACGTCTCCAGACTCCGGCCCTCTCTCCCCGACCCCGTTGCAGAAACATTCATTCATATCTTCATCTCCTCTCGTCTGGACTACTGCAATGGAGTTCTGTTCGGGGTCACCAGCAAAGCCCTGGACAGGCTCCAGTACGTCCAGAACTCTGCAGCCAGGCTCCTCACCCACACTAAGCCCTGGCAACACATCACCCCTACCCTCATCCACCTTCACTGGCTCCCGGTCAAGTCACGCATCCAGTACAAACTCCTCCTGCTAACTTACAAATCTCTCCACTCCCTAGCCTACCCATACATCTCTGACCTCCTTCAGCCCTACACCCCCTCTCGTCACCTGCGGTCCTCTGACAAAGGGCTGCTCTCCATCCAGCGCTCCAAGCTGAAAACATTTGGCAACAGAGCCTTCAGTGTCGCAGCCCCGACTCTCTGGAATTCTCTCCCCTCTGCAATCAGGAATGCAGACACTCTGGACACCTTCAAAAAACACCTCAAACACCATCTGTTCACTCAGGCCTTTGGTCTCAACTAATATACAGCACTCAGCAACCTGTTCCTGTTTTGTTTTCTTCAGCCTATGTATCTGTATGATTATTATATGTTTTTCACTTTTCATTTTTAGGGGGGCCACAGGGGGGTCAGAGGTCAGTGTTAGGGGGGCACAGGCCCCCCCTGCCCCCCTAGAACCGCCCCTGAGAGAGGGAGAGAGAGGGACCGGTGCTAGCGGGGACCGTGATGTTAGCATCTGGTTAGCTAGCTGCACTAACGGACATAAGGAGCTGTTTCCACAACAAGCTTGAGGAGAGTTCTCCCCTGTCAGACTGAGGGGCTCAGGTGAGCTAAGGACTCTCTGAGTGTTTAGAACGGTTTTGTCACAAATTATTCAAAAGATTATTTCCGCGGCACACCTTCATATGATCATTATAGTTATACAAACAATAAGAGAATACATGAAAAACAGGTATGAAATACTATATGGCAGTAAAACAAGAATACAGTTTAAAAGGGGAGTGATTTGTAAAATATCCATAAAGAAAAAGAAAATCTGTTAACAGTTATGTTTCATATGGGTGCTGAGAGATGTAGGCTATCCATAGATCTCTTCATTTTGCTCTCAAAGTGCACCAGATTGATGCTTTCAACTTCAATATTAAAAAAAAATCTTCCCGGGGGAGCATGAGGAGGTGAGGACCCCCCCTAGAGGAGGTGAGGACTTAGACCCCGGCCACACAAGGACGAAAACAGCTAAACGCATAGGATTAACGCAAACGCAATCGCAAACAAGCTTCCGTCCACACGCAATAGTTATCCGGATAGTGTCTGTCCACACGAGACCGCTCCGTTTAGCTCCAACCGCTGGAGAAGCTGCAGTACATGCAGGAGCCTGTACGTGGCGCTGTAACTTCCTCCACAAAAGCAGCGAAGAAGCATGGTTGTCATGGTTGCCCTTCTGTTTATTCTCCGCGGTGGGGGCGAGGGAACCGGGCAGAGTTTTTCGCCAGTCAACGTGTATTAAAGTTTAAATCTTCCGACAAAATTATAAAAGTGCCGGTCAAAGGTCTTCTTTGTTATTTATTGAGCTTTAAAACAAATGAATAACGACTCTATATATTTTAATAATATAAATACACGGAGCCTCTCTTTTTCCTCCCTCTCTTCGGACAGCGCCAGTGTCTGTCTCATGCAGCAGCTGATCCAGTAATGAGTGACCCGGCCGACAGTAAAAATAAACATATTTATAACTAGTGTAGTTTGAGAGGTGTCTCCGTCCTGTCAGATTAGACTTCACTCGCGTTTATGTCCATATCGAGAGAAAGATAAATAATCTGAATTCAGTGTGCAGTTTACTTTGACGCGGGGGTGAGCAGCAGAGGTGGGGAGAGGCGGGGCTATTGCGCAATCATTATCAGAAAATGATCGCTGAAGCTGCAGTACATATCCACAAAAGCAGCGAGTAAGATCCCCCCCGGATGTGTAAGTCTGCTGTAGATGTTGCACAAAGAACTGTAGCATGGTCAGTAGCGTCCGGAGCACGATAGCAACTCTGCGATCCGCCATTGTTGTTGTTGTTGGTGGCGAAACACATCAGCAATGGCGCGGGGTACGCGGAGGTGAGCAGCAGAGGTGAGGAGAGGCGGGGCTATTGCGCAATCATTATCAGAAAATGATCGTATAGGGCGTACACACGGAGCTGTTTGACCCCCCAGAACGTTGCGTATGCCGTTCTATCCACCTTGGGACCCGTTATCGTTTCCTCAGTCGTTTAGTGCCGTATGCGGTCGTCCTCGTGTGGCCGAACGGTCTATATGACACTAAACAGTAACGCAAACGGCCGTCTTCGTCCTCGTGTGGCCGGGGCATCAGAGGAGGTGAGGACCCCCTAGAGGAGGTGAGGAACGCCCACCACCTATAAAAAATAGCACTTTACCCCTGCCTATATGTCGTGAGCTGATTATGGAGCCTTCATTGAAACAGTAATTCAGATGCAATTAGCCTATAAAAGGCCTCAAATTGGAAGCACTGTCTGGGCCGTCTTTTTCACTCAATTCTGCAATAGGTAGATCTCGCCTTTCACCTAGGCCGAGGTCGGTGACCTTGGGCTTAAAAAGGTTGGTGACCACTGCAGTCTAGATGATAGGAAAGGAGGTTTCAAACTTCCTTTATAACCTCCTGATGTTTGAATGGTGATATACACAGTGATAGATGGTAAGGACTAACGTTTATAATAAATACACTTGTATTGATTTTAAGATCTTTTCATCAATCATACGTATTGGGATCATTTGTATTAATGAGGACCGGAGGGAGAGGGTGACGAGCAGAAGCTTCACTTTCCTTTTTTATTTCAATTCCAACTTTGGTCATGAAGAATCTGTTTCTCTGTTGTCCACGTTCATAAAGCCTAAAGCAACAGCATCAGAGCACAGAGTCTCTAGATGAGTTCACAGGAGTCCCTCGTTCTTATTGAACATCCATGTTGTAGTCCGCTGTATAGAAAACTGTAGTTTCCATAGTTTCCCCACAGCAGCAGACGCACAACATGACGTCCGCTGGCGCATCAGAAACACGTCGGATAGTGAAAGTGCATTCGGATTCTCAAAGCACCGCAGTCTCTTCTCCTAAGTCCTTTTGAATTCTCCTATCCACTATCCCTTAACCCCGTGACCTTTCACTCAGAGGTCAAGGAATAGACGATATAGGAGCTGATTTTTGGACTATTCGACTGCAACCCGGAAGGTTTCTCATTTCTCTAATTTCCCCTCCTCGACTCCTCGTATCCTCGGTCCTGCGGTAGTGACCCGGAAATGGATTTCAGCGTGCCATGTTGAAGGACATCTCATTTCTCAGGGGGGGGGGGGGATATATCCAGTCTCTGATTGTGTTACGTTATTATGAGATTGCTCTCATACTTGTTTGATTCTGAAATTGTATATATTTATATAAATATATATGTGTGTGTGTGTGTGTGTGTGTGTCCGCATCTGTAGCCTGTTATTGTCTCATTATACCGCACTGTGAATGAATCAAAGTAAATATATAAGTCATCATGAACACATCTGTCCATCAGACAGAGGGCTGCTGTGCCTCCTGTCATCGTTAATGGACGTCTCTTTAAAATGACCGCTCAGAGGAGAGGAGTTCTCATTTCTCTAACCGCCTGCTGCTTCCCCTCCTCTCTCCTCGGTTCCCCTCCTCGACTCCTCCACTCGCATCTCCTGTGGACGGGACTAAGACACGAGGATAGGAGTCAAGGAGGGGAACCGAGGAGGGGAAATCCAAGAAATGAGAAACCTTCCCGGTCACTACCTGACCAGACTCAGTAGCCTCATCCCAATACACCTCCTCGACTCCTCTCTTCCTCTCCTCCGGGACTTGACCCGGAAATCGATCAAGACACGCCATTTTGAAGGACGTCCCAATAGCTGAAATGCACACGGAGGAGTCGAGGAGGAGTGAGGGAGGAGGGGTGCGGGAGGATACACAGAGCAGACTACGAGAAGTGTTTTCACTACTCGCGTATAAAAGCCCCGCCCCCACCTTCACAGCTGGTCCATTTCAACAGAGGAAAACTGACAACTGGAAGATGAGTGGAAAAGCATCACATAAATGTATAAGTGCTCACAGCTCCGTGGGAATTATTATGTGCAATTCATTTCTAAAAGGCTTTCACATTACCATAATTATATTTTTATTTAAATGTAGGCTACATTTTACACCAAAACGGAACACAAAAGCAGGACCAACCATCATACATTGAATTCCTTTACTAACAAAAAGATTCATTCATTTCAATAAATATTTAACAACAAATGGGCCGGTTCTAAAGGGATATTCTTTTTTATTATCAATATGTTTATTGATTTTCAGCTTACAAAAAAAATCACATACATAGGACGAAGACATAGAGCCAAAAGCAATACATATATACACAGGACAACTACTTTACATTAAAGAAAAATAACAACACTAAATTAAATTGGTACATACCACAAGGGCACTCTAATGCATCGGCAACCATCCAGTTTTCCAGCAATAGGACCGTATTTCTACAGAGGATATCAGTCATTTACATTATAACATATTATCGCATTATCGCATTATCCTGCCCCAGGTTCGTTCAGAAATTGAGATAGGTCGTTGTTCTTGGTATACTCTATAAAACGTCCCCAGACCTTCTGGAACAGTTCTTGTTTGTCTTTGAGAATGTAAGTGATTTGTTCTAAAGGCAGACATAAAGAAAGTGTTAAGGGCTTATTCAGTTAAGCCCGGTGAGAGGGGATACAGCTGTGCGCGTGCCATCATTAACAGACGTAGTTTAAAAGTGACGTTTGAGTGAACGAGGACATCCCAATTAATACCTGAGGACTCCTCTGTCCTCGTGTCACCTCCTCGTGTCTCTCGCTCGCATCTTACGGAGGCGGAGCTAAGATGCAAGGAAGGGAAGCGAGTGAGGGAAAGGAGGAGTTTTGGGATGAGCTGTTTACAAGTAGTTCCAGCAAACATCCAGATGTAACCTCATATGTTTTTTAACTTAGGGTCATACCGTGTTTAGTCTAGAAAAAGGTTGCAAAAACTACGAAGCTTATAAACACCAGGTTTAAAACTAAAAGAGCTTTACAAAAAACAAACACAATTAAAGATGTTATTTTTTGTCAAAGAGATTCTGATGTGAAACCGTTGTTACGGCATTTCCTCTTTCTGCCTGAGAGAGGGGAGTTTCTCCCAAAGCCTGCCGCTACACACACACACACACACACACACACACACACACACACACACACACACACACACACACACACACACACACACACACACACACACACATTTTTGATTTTACAAATCACTCCCCTTTTAAACTGTATTCTTGTTTTACTGTCATATAGTATTTCATAACTGTAATGATCATATGAAGGTGAGCCTTCATAATTATCTTTTACATAATAATTTCATTCACTGAACACGGGAAATTACGATCCTGCCGTCCTCTCTAGTGCCATGAGGTTCAGGTAAAGCACGGTTCATCAAAAAAAGTCACAGTTTGTCGTAAAACTGTTGAAATATAAGACTGAAAAATACGCAACTAGAAAGACTACAAATCCCAGAGTCCCGGTCCCGCATGCTGGCTCTTAGGAACCGACTCACTCCCCTTGTGTGTGTGCACAGCTCTCAACGTGCCCAGACTTGGAGTGATTTCCACCTCTTTTAATACTTTCCACCTCGTTCTGAAAGAAAGAAGTGAAATGTTCCAACGTGACGGCCGTCTTGGTGTGTGGAGCGAGACGGGAGATGGAGTTCATTGAGCGGTTTCACACAAACAAACCGTTACTTCACAGTTTTACGAGACATTTTGATTTTTTTAACTTGCAAACTTATCTTTTAAATTGACAAACATCATGTGTGTAATTCATGGCTCAATTCAAACGGGATGGAAAGATAATCTTTCTCTCTCCATTGACTTCAATACATACTTTTTCAGAAATAAGGTCCCATGGAGGAAGGGAGCTCCCCCGCCTCTCTCTAAGCCCAGCGCAGCCGCCTGTGCGACATCAGTCTTTGTAAACAAACACACATTAGGGTTTAGGCTAGAGCAAAACAGTGTTGCAGCTTTGTTGATTGAGACAAGGTCCCGCACACATAACAGAAGCTTGTCACGTCATCAAACCGACAAGAGCAGAGGATGGAGTTTAGGTTGTTTAGGTTGGCTAATGTAAGCACCTGAGCGCTAACGTAATGCGCATGCAGCAGTCAGTACCCGCTGGGAAGCAGTGCTCCCTGGGTAAAGCAGTGTTTTCATTTTAATGCCAAAGGGATCAATTACACATGATTTGAGAGGCTGATAGATGAAGTCACGGTACGCCAAAGAGTCAAATGTCGAAGTGCCACATTTATTTTTCATCTGGTTCATTGTAGGCATTCAATAATAGCAGCACATATGCTACCGGCCCACTTGGAGCACTGTGTGCTAAACGTTCTGATTCTAAAGCCATTATCCGGTGAAATCAAAATGACCCCAGCATCAGCATAACAAAGAAAAAGCCTTCATCACATCATTTAATACAAAATATCAACAAATCCAGATCAGTCGGTGAGAAGCTGTGACGTTCAAAGACATTTGCCTCGTGTGACTGCTCCCCTCAAAAGATCTGCTATTTGGTTTAATATACCTCCATCTTCTTACTGTTAGTTAGACCAACAACACTGTTGTCCTTAGTACACACAGCTGGTCAGTGCCTGGGTGTGTTCGCTGAATCACAGCTCTGTGTCAAAGCTCTGTGCTGCAGCAGGGTTCAGCAGGTCAATGGTCTGTCCTTCCTTCAGTTTCAGAACGGCCTGCTTTAGACTCCACCTGTATGAAAGGATACAAACAGAACTGTTGAAAGATATGGGAGTTGGGTCTGTTTTAGTAGAGCAGTTGCTGAGTCAATCTGTTGTTTGTGTCATCAGATCTAAAGTCTGGTCCAGAACTGATTTGCATTGGATAACGTTGAGTTAGTGCTCAGATAATGTTTGGCAATGTGTTATTATCAGGGGTGTAGTGCTGCCGGAGCACACCGGAACGCTGCTCCGGGATTAAAAAAATTGCAGCACGCATAAGGAGCGTGGCTGTGGGTTTAGATGAAGTGTGGCCATCTGTTCATCTGTCATAGTGATCATACATAAAGCCATCGACAATAATACGATACAGTAGTAAAAGTACTTTTGGGTCTCTGTTGCCCCTTTTCCACCAAACCGGTTCCAAGGCCGGTTCCGGGCTAGAGCCTCATTAAGCTCTGGTTCTTCCTGTTCTTAGCTGGCCCCACTCGGCTGCCCGGAAAGAACCAAGAACCGATAATTCACGCTTACGCCGGAGGGGGGCGAGATTAACCTGAACAGTAACAGTTCATGGCGAGTACGGCAAATTAAAGCTGTAAGCAGTAGCGCTGAGCAAAGTGACTAGAACGCGACCACACACTTTATAAAGTCAGGCAACACAAACCAGGCTTCGTGTGATTGTGTTTATTTGACCTTACTTTGTTGACCATCCGTTCGCTGTCATTGATCATTATGGAGAGCAGGTAGAAGTGTTCCTGTTGTTTTGTATCATAGCAGCTATCGGATGGAATCAATACATGGGCTGCACAGGTTGTCCGTCAATCACAAGGAGAATCATAATGAAACATACGGCGGTAGAAAACAGATTATGCCACAGTAGGAGAGCAACACTTAAAAAACAGTGTTTATTCACCCAACCAACGCAGGAGGCCAACGCGGCAACGGAGGCATCATTTAAAGTGGCGCACATCTTAGCTAAGCACAAAAAGCCATTCACCGATGGCGGGATGGAGAAGGAAGCGATGAGCGCAGTGGCCGAGACGGTATTTAAGGACCATAAAAGTAAGACTGAAATCATGCCCGTTAGCGCTGATGTACCGCTTGGTGCTAACCAGGCTTGGAATTTCATCATTTCAGGGGCAAGGCCATTCGGCTTTTGGTGTCACACATGTTTTCAGGGCACAAAGGCCACTGAGGGGAACATGTGGATTTGGAGCTTAGAAATAAATAACTTTCCGTTAAGAAAAATACACGAATGACATGGAACAAATCACTTTTTATATAAAATGAAATGTTTTCTACAACTTCTCTCATTAGAAAATCCAAATTCAAATCATAATGACAGGCGACAGGGGGGGGGGAAAGCTCCACTCGGGCACCCTGTTATAATCTACCAGTGTGTGAGTGTGTGTGTGTGTGTGTGTGGGGGGGGTTTTCTTCTTGTGCACAATTCATAAATCAGAGCCAGATTTATGAACATACCAAATGTTTATTGAACTGAAGAAAACAGAGAGTGTAGGAAATAATTAAATAATGACATTCATTTAAAATTGTTGAATGTATATGAAGACATTGCAGATTCATTTACTAATGGTCCTGCTTTTACACATTAAATATCTATGTATTCAGCTGGTTGAAGAGCATCTCACTCAAATTGTTTACATGGCAGGAAATACGCTTCATGCATGTATTTGCCTCAGAATACCAACAGCTTGCTTTGCACCGCTGACATGGATGTTACTGTACCATGCTGCTTCTACTGTGCGTGTGTGTATTCAGACCTACTGTGTATGGGTCCTGTGAATATGTGTATTTATATATTTGTGTTGTTGTCATCTTCCATATGCAATGTATATGGAACATGCACTGTACATTTGCACGGAGTTGTGGTCAAAATGATTTACATGCATATTTCTGTCACAACATACTGAATAAAGAATAATAATTGTCTCACAATACAGAATGTACCAACCTGTTGGTATCGAGGTCTCTTGTTGAACACGTATACAGATAACCTCCAGTGTGTGAACCAGTCACAGGGATCTTGATCTGCAACACAACACAATGCTAATTCATCTGCAGTGTAGACAGACGGCAGAGCTTTGCACGACATGATTGGAAGCACAGCTGCCCACCATTTGAATCCCAAACCACCCTCACCTTCCGGACTTAAAGATAACTCCCAATTGTATTAAACCCCAGTTTGAAACTAGTTTGCTGGCCCATGCGCAACGACATAAGATCAATCGATGAGCTCACAGTGAACATGTTAAAAAGATAAACGGCTATAACAGTAAGGGCAGTACAATAAGTCTAATAATAATCACAATTTTGCTTTCTGAAATAAACAGGATTCCTGTACAGCAGCAGCGGCGGCAGCAGCGGCGGCAGCAGCGGCAGCGGCAGCATGCACTACCTGCCACAGTAGCTTGGGAATGTATATATATATGTTATGTTGCACTGTTGGAGTGACTTAAGAGTTTCATTGCATATCTACACTGAAGCTGCTGTGCACGTGACAATAAAGCCTTTGAATCTATCCATCAATAATATAGCGCTAGCAATCATATTTGGTCATGACCAGCTAATTTGACAATCCATAGAATGAAATGATCGTCAAAACAGTGATCGACCCAGGGGCGGACTGGCCATCGGGACGTTCGGGACGAATCCCGGTGGGCCGGTACTGAAGTGGGCCGGTCGGATAAGTCACCAGCACCCCCCCCCCCCCGTTGACAATTTACTAGCGGTAATTACTTGCGGTACCGAAGTGGGCCGGTCGAGAGTCCCGGGCTGATTTGTAGTCCCAGTCCGCCCCTGGATCGACCTACGCTGACGAATTACAATCCATTCTTCGGAGCTCGCTAATGTTAAACGTGATTATTGCCAGAGGTTGCATTAATAACTGGACCTTTTCTGAAAGTATAATTCTTGTTAAAAAGAGCTTTGTTAACCACCTTACAGTTTAACGCATGTTTACGACTTGATGAGAGTACCTGTGCAGTGCTCTGATCTATGCGGTTGTCTCTGTCAGTTAGATGAATGTTGTGGATTGTTAAAGGCGGGGCCCCAAGCCGCTCCATGGCAACGGGACATGCCTTCAACTTCTGCGTGGCCAGTCTGTGGTAGTCCGACTGAACAAATTTCTCTGTACAAAAAATGAATGAAAAGAATGATCAAATAACAAGTCAAAGGTGCTGAAAGCAGTGAAATGGTTCATTATAATGAATAAAAGCACTTGAAATTCACAGTCAAAGAGCACTGCATGAAGGCAGTGAAACCGTCAGTTGGGTACAAAATGACAGCAGTTCAAATGATGCAACTCTGACAGAAATTGAAGAGCAAGTCCTCCTAATTATTTGAATTTTAGTAAAGCATGTGGGCCACCATTTTAGGAAAGGCGATGATAAAACATTTGTGTAAATTTGACAAGGCACGGGACACCCACTGCACGGGACACCCACTGCACGGTCACAGGGACGCGGGAAGTCAGTCCGTGTTGGGGGTGCTAGCGGAGCCTGTAGGTGCGCCGCGTTCACGCTTCAGATGAGGCTCTCCCCGCAAAATGAGGCCCCGTCCGCGAGGTGAGGCCCCATGCAGTCTGCGTGATCTGCGTGTAGGGATCACGCTACACGCCCTGTGTAATAACGTAATGCAGTCATTTGGTCTTTAGCAACAGCTTGTGAGAGCAGTGCATTCATCTGTGTTCGTTTTAATGCTGCCAGTTAGTTGACGGCCTGTGTGTTGATGGGACTTCTCATGCTCTCTAAATGTTTCCTCTGCCTTTCGCCAGTTGTTAAATCCTCCTTTCACAAAACTCCCATCCCTGATCTTGTCTGCACTGAGAAGCTTCTTCTCTACAGCAGAGCAACAGAAGAAGCACACCGCATCATCACTTCCTCTTATATAGTGAAGCTTTTTAGAGACTGCTTACACTAACATGCCAACTCAAAAACAGTAACTCAAAATAAAACGTTTGTATTGATTTGTGAACTTGTTGGCGTTGCAGTTACAACTCTCCGCCAACAGGTGGTGACGGTGCATGGCCGCATCACATTAATGCACATCATGTGAAGAACATGTTATTTCTTCATACTGTGTTCATGCTCAGCTCTCTGAATATATTTTGCTCATGTCTACACAGCCCTACGTTTTAAAATATTTTTTTTTTGTTGTATATTTAAATGTGGTTTTCATACTTGTCTTTTTAATGCTTAATAGTTTCTTCAAAATACTGTCTTTTTATTATCATTTTATGTTTGACCTAGTCTTACAACTTGTTTGCTTATGTTGTCTCTGTTTGCCTCACAGTCAAACAGAGAACATGTCCTTATTTGGGCCTCTTTAACAAGGATGGAGCTGTGTGTGTGTTGATGGAGCAGCTACAATAATAATACATTTATAAAGCGCTTTTCCTGGCGCTCAAAGCGCTTACAAGCAAGTAAAACAAAATAACAACAAAAGTAGAAAGTGCTAAGCTAGGAGGAATAAGGGCGAGGGGTAAGTGGATTAGGAGTTGAAGGCAAGAGTGAGAAGGTGAGTTTTTAGGGATTGTTTGAATGATGTGAGAGTGTTGGCGGATCTGACGTGGCTGGGGAGGGGGTTCCAGAGTGAGGGGGGGGCTGCTGCGAAGGCCCCGTCACCCCAGGTCCGGAGCTTTGTCCTGATGGGCTGCAGACAGTAGGTTAGCGTCAGCAGACCTGAGGCGACGGGTGGGGGTGTGTCGTTGGATGAGGTCACAGAGGCAGAGGGGGGGCAAGGTTGTTGAGGGCTTTGAAAGTGAAAAGTAATATTTTAAAGTCAATGCGGTGTTTGATGGGGAGCGTCGGGTGGAGGTCATGGAGGATAGGGGTGATGTGGTCGGAGCGTCGGGTGGAGGTCATGGAGGAAAGGGGTGATGTGGTCGGAGCGTCGGGTGGAGGTCATGGAGGATAGGGGTGATGTGGTCGGAGCGTCGGGTGGAGGTCATGGAGGATAGGGGTGATGTGGTCGGAGCGTCGGGTGGAGGTCATGGAGGATAGGGGTGATGTGGTCGGAGCATCGGGTGGAGGTCATGGAGGATAGGGGTGATGTGGTCGGAGCGTCGGGTGGAGGTCATGGAGGATAGGGGTGATGTGGTCGGAGCGTCGGGTGGAGGTCATGGAGGAAAGGGGTGATGTGGTCGGAGCGTCGGGTGGAGGTCATGGAGGAAAGGGGTGATGTGGTCGGAGCGTCGGGTGGAGGTCATGGAGGAAAGGGGTGATGTGGTCGGAGCATCGGGTGGAGGTCATGGAGGAAAGGGGTGATGTGGTCGGAGCGTCGGGTGGAGGTCATGGAGGATAGGGGTGATGTGGTCGGAGCGTCGGGTGGAGGTCATGGAGGATAGGGGTGATGTGGTCGGAGCGTCGGGTGGAGGTCATGGAGGATAGGGGTGATGTGGTCGGAGCGTCGGGTGGAGGTCATGGAGGAAAGGGGTGATGTGGTCGGGTGGAGGTCATGGAGGATAGGGGTGATGTGGTCGGAGCATCGGGTGGAGGTCATGGAGGATAGGGGTGATGTGGTCGGAGCGTCGGGTGGAGGTCATGGAGGATAGGGGTGATGTGGTCGGAGCGTCGGGTGGAGGTCATGGAGGGTTGTGGGGTGATGTGGTCGGAGCGTCGGGTGGAGGTCATGGAGGATAGGGGTGATGTGGTCGGAGCGTCGGGTGGAGGTCATGGAGGGTTGTGGGGTGATGTGGTCGGAGCGTCGGGTGGAGGTCATGGAGGATAGGGGTGATGTGGTCGGAGCGTCGGGTGGAGGATAGGGGTGATGTGGTCGGAGCGTCGGGTGGAGGATAGGGGTGATGTGGTCGGAGCGTCGGGTGGAGGTCATAGAGGATAGGGGTGATGTGGTCGGAGCATCGGGTGGAGGTCATAGAGGATAGGGGTGATGTGGTCGGAGCGTCGGGTGGAGGATAGGGGTGATGTGGTCAGAGCGTCGGGTGGAGGTCATGGAGGATAGGGGTGATGTGGTCGGAGCGTCGGGTGGAGGTCATGGAGGATAGGGGTGATGTGGTCGGAGCGTCGGGTGGAGGTGAGCAAGCGGGCCGCTGAGTTTCGGACGTTTTTTTAGTACGAATGCAGGTGATCCAAAAAGTATGCTGTTGCAGTAACAATGATACAGTAGCTCAGCCTAGCACAGATCCAAACTCCATTCAAAACGTTTTTGACCGACCTAAAACTGGTCGTGATGACCGACCTAAAACTGTTCATATACTTGAAGTCCAGTGAACGATGATAGTCTCATCCGTCTATTTGATCCATCTTCAAAATGTGGTTCTGTTTTCAAAACAGACGGGCCTAGCAGCTGGCATATAAGTATAACAGGAACATGGAAAATAGAGCGCTTGCTTGCTCAACTGTTATTTGATCACATATTGAGGCCTCTACTTGATGGTGTTGATAACACATAACCGAGTAGTTGTACTCACTCTGCATCAGATAGTACATGGTGCCGATGCCCCCCCCCAGTCAGCACAGTGGTGAAGATGGCGAGCTGCTGAAGGTGACTGGTGGAAACCCTCATCTTTGCCTCCTTTCCTGTGAGGCTGCACAGACAGCAGTGATCAGTTTAAAACAGGTGTACACTTGTTTCGCTAACTGTTGTATTTCAACCTCTGAAATGAATGGAGCCGGAATAGTGGAAAGATGACGGACTGGGTGCAACCTTTCTATGAGCTCGGTTTGCTTGTCCAAGGTTCACACTTTATTTAAATTCCAACATTCATTATTCAGTGCTGTTGATTTTTGTATTTGCAGCCAGAATTTTGTTCTTAAAAGATGTTGGCCATGTCAGCAAAAAAGATTGTGTAAATGGAACGTTGAATCTGTAGCTGAATAACAAAAGCAATTGGCATAATTCCCACGACCTACGTACCAATTTGGGAGGTATAACATTTTCACTTAAATGTGATTTCACTATTCAAAGAATCCAAATAAAAAACCTTTTCGTCAGAAGGTCCTGTTATAATAGGTAACGAACTAGGAGCAGATAAATAATCAGATGTTAAAGACAGCAGCAGCATAAGAGGCCAACCAGAGTGGGTGCGTCAGTGTGCTGAAGGATAGACCCGCTATCCAGACCAGACTCTAAAGACTTTCCAAGGGGTAAACAAGCTGCTACCAGAGTACTGACTGGGAGTAGTGCTGATATCATGTCTACCATATCCTCTTCAAATACTCTGTCCAACAAGTCAGCTTTATTGTCAACATTTATGTTATACATACAGACATCTTGAAATACCATTTCTCGCAGTCCCACAGTGGGACATACAACAAGATACAAAAAGGGCCTAGATAACGGGGTATACAACTAAGTAATAGTAGTTAATAATATATTTTAAAAAACACAATCCAAAGAACATGAATTTACATTAATGCAAGTATTCTTTAGTGCGAAGAGAGAATTATGTTCAAAGTACAGTTTCAGTGCAGTAGCAGCGGAGATGGGTATAAAAGTGACTGGTGCTGGATGAGGGAAGGTTGTGTGTGTGTGTGTGTGTGTGTGTGTGTGTGTGTGTGTGTGTGTGTGTGTGTGTGTGTGTGTGTGTGGGGGGGGGGGGGTTAAAGTCCAGGTCCATTTGGGGCAGGGGGGAAAGGTGGGAGGCAGGGCGGAGAGGGGAGAGATGTCAGAGGAGGGAGGGGAGAGAGTTCAGCATCCTATCAGTCTCATGAAGAACATATTTTCAATGCTTGTTAAGGATAGCAGAAAACATGCATTATTGTTCTCAGGAGGGGACTTTGACAAGAGGATTACTCAAAAAGTACACGGTAAAAGTACTTCATAGTACTTGTGGGAATAGTTTCACTAGTAGTACTGAGTCCAACAGTTTTCAATCTCACGAAGAACTCATTTTTTCCCTCGTCAAACTCAGCAGAAGTGGCTTGATTTTGTTCTCAGGAGGGGACATTGACAGAGGATTTTTTAAACAACACACTAGAAGGACTTCATTGTATTGTGGTAGTAGGTGTAAGACTACTGAGTCTTACACCTACTTAAGAACTAATGGTAACATTGTCTTTTTATCACTCATCAAAGATAGCAGAAAACATGCATTATGGAGGGGACTCTGACAGAGGATTACTCACAAAGTACACAGTCAAAGTACTTCATTTGATTTCTGGTAGCAGTCAAACTAGTACTGAGTCCAACAGTGTCAGTTTCCTTAAGAACTTATGGTAACAAATATTTGTATCAGTCATCAAATATAGCAGGACAAAAAATGAAGAGCAGCTGATATGAAAAAGCAAACTCGAGTGACCGCAGTGCAGAATCGCTGTAGTTTAAATCTCCTAACAATGTTGTCCATTTTAGACACAGGCTTATTATATTTACAGCCCTAATAACATTCATTTTCTGGTCTCAATGTCTGTCTTGGCCGTTTTCGTTGTGATCGCTAAATTCACCTTGTTTATAATTATAATATTCTCACCTTGTGTAGTATTAGGACGACTCTGCTCCCTTTACATCCGGTAACTACGGTGGCCGGTGCGCTCCATTTGTACACAGGCATTTGCCGCTGACTTGAACCGGTTAACTTATGGAATCAGTTTTGTGCCATTAAGATAAGCAACACTTTTTACATTACATTACATGTCATTTGTTAGACGCTTTTATCCAAAGCGACTAACATACTCAACTCAACTGTGTGGACAATCCTCACAGGAGCAATTTTGGGTGAAGTGTCTTGCCCAGGGACACAACGACAGTGGGACTCGAACTTGCTATCCCCTGATTCGAAGTCCAGCGCACTATCCACTGAGCCACAGCCTCCCCCACTCCCCACTTTCTCAGAATCAAGCAAAAACTAAGGGTTTAAGAGAAGAAAAAATAAATGTAATTTCAAAGCTAAAACTATATCTTGCAAACAAATCATTTGTGTAATCATGTAAACTATAAGTATTTATTTATTTTTATATCATATCTTTTTGTTTGCAGTTCTCTTTGATTCTTTCTCAATGATCAGACTTTTGCTCTCGCTGCAGGCGCAAACATCTCAGGTGGGCGGGACTTTCAGGGGTGTGTCCCAATTGGCTAGTTTTTGAGTGACAGCCCAGTCCTTCAGCCATGGGAGGAAGCTGTTCAACAGTAAGACTTGAGTAAAAGTAGAAGTATTCAGATCTTGTACTTGAGTAAAAGTAGAAGTACTCAGATCTTGTACTTGAGTAAAAGGAGAAGTACTCAGATCTTGTGCTTGAGTAAAAGTAGAAGTACTCAGATCTTGTTCTTGAGTAAAAGTAGAAGTACTCAGATCTTGTTCTTGAGTAAAAGTAGAAGTACTCAGATCTTGTACTTGAGTAAAAGTAGAAGTACTCAGATCTTGTACTTGAGTAAAAGTAGAAGTACTCAGATCTTGTACTTGAGTAAAAGTAGAAGTACCAGAGTGTAGGAATACTCTGTTTCAGTAAAAGTCCTGCATTCAAAATGTTCCTCAAGTGAAAGTAGAAAAGTATTCTCATCAAAATATAGTGAAAGTAGCGACAGTAAAAGTATTCGTTGTGCAGATTGGTCCATTTCAGAATAATATATATGATATGTTTTATAATGATTGATCATGAAAGTGTTCTCAAAGCTGGTGAAGGTGCAGCTAGTTTGAATGACTTTGTATACTGCAGGGTAGCTGGTGAATATTAAAAACTAACATGTTGCATCACATCAGGTGTTTTCATTTGTACTAAGTAGCTTGTAACTGAGTGTTTAATAAATGTAGAACGGTAAAAAGTACATTACTTGCCTCCAAAATGTAGTGGACTAAAAGTAGCATAACATGGAAATACTGAAGTATAGTACGAGTATAGGGTCATAAAGACATGACATCGCTATATAAACGCAGTCTAGATAGTTTACTTACCTCCAGCTGGATGTTGGTGAGCTAGACTTAAATAAAAAACAAATATAACTTACATGTAACTATATAGTAAATTATAATTGCCCATTTCCTAGAAAACTTGCTTTCCAATACAGACGCCCATATTGTGATCTTCAGTGTGTATATCAGACCTCTACCACTGATGAGGATGATCTTCTTTTGTGTAACGTCAGAGGTCCAACTCGGTGTCGTGTAGCCATGCCGGCATCTCTGGTCCTAAGTCGAAGAGGCTGGCTTCCGAGGGTGGTCTAAAGGGCAGGTGGTGATGTGTTGGGCAGTCTGTTCAGGGTCACCACACTCGCACTGTCTGCCAGGCCCCACTTCTTCATCCATGTTTTGAAGCGACCGACCCCAGTTTGTAGACGGTTTAGTGTGGTCCATTGCCGGTGTTGCGTCAAATGATGCACCCCGTCGTGAAATGCACCCCTTGACACGGGAACGCGCATTTGAACGTATAGTCCGCTATTCTATGTTGTCTTTTTGATGGTTGGGTTGTCGAATCCTGGATTTTGCATTCATTCCTCACTTATTCTTCAGTTCATTGTGACGTCCTGTCTGTATACTTGTGCTTTACAATGTATTGTTTATTTTTACATCAAGTGCTTGAGGGTGGGATTAATAGAAGCATCTTTTTGGGGGGGTGCTTTTTATGAACAGCCTGGTTGCCACGATATGCACCCCTTGCTATCTCTGTCAGTAAACACGTCACATCCATGAAACTTGCTCCATTTATTGGTACTAGTCCTACAATAGGCTCCAAAGTGCTTGAGGGTGGGATTAATAGAAGCATCTTTTTTTTTGGGGGGGGGGGGCTTTTTACGGCAGGCCAGGGGGTGCATTTCACGACGGGGGTGCATAATTTGACACAACACCGGCGTGGTAGATTGTCTCCTCCTATGGCGCCATCTCCTGGGTCCCAGATGTAGCGATGGATGCAGGAGGGCCCGGCTATCTCCCACTCCTGCATCCAAGCAGCCGCCAACCATGCATCCCTGGAGAGGTCCTCAGAGGTGGAATTGAGCCTTTCTTGAGCTGCCTTGTTGTAGGGGAGGCAGGACTTGAGCCTACTTAGAGGCCTACTTGTTATGCAGGATGTGCCAGTCATGCTTTTGGGCTTTCCTGACCAGGGCGAGGGTGGCCGGAGCTATTTCTGCTTGGACTGGCAAGAGGGACACAGGGGTAGTTATAATCCGGAGGGCATGGTTGAGGACCACGTCAACCTTACTTGCGTGAGGGCTTCTGCTCCAGGCTCGGGCGCAGTATTCCACTGCAGAGAAGACCAGGGCTTCGATCCAGACGCACGCCGAGGTACTTCGGGGCTTGCTGGACCTCCAGACGTTTGTTATTGACGCACACCTCAAGTTCCCTCCTAGCTTCTCTGGTGCTAAGATGGTATGCCGCTGCTACTGTCTTTCCGATGTTGAGCTGTAGACGCCACCTTTGAAAGTATGCTACCAGGGTGCCCATGTCGTCTTCCATCGCCTTCCATGTTAGTCGTCTCGGCATGATGGCTAGATCGTCTCCATAGCCGTACTTTCTGGATGTTGTGTCAGGTAGGTCGTGTTCATATATGTTGTATCGGCGAGAGAACTGACCCCTGCGGAACACCGTTCCTCAGTCTTCTGAGCCTGCTGCGCTGGCCATTGCTTGTCTGGAG